GGGGGGGGGGGTGAATAGCAGAGCGGTAGGTTGTGGGGCCCCGCGCTGCATCAGGGGCCCCACAACCTATCGATTAAATAGTTTTATTATTTTTTGCCGTTCCAGTTGGAGAGATCTCTGATCTCTCCAGCTGGAACAAGGCTGTGCTGCCGGGCCCCTGATTGCCTCGGGCCCTCGGTCCGTGACCGATATGCCCGAGTGGTCAGTCTGCCCCTGCATATTGTATTGTATGATCCTGAGGAAAGCCACAGGCGGGGGCTGAAACGTCGATCAGAGTTTTTATGTATTTGCAAAAAAGAAATAGTTTTAACTTCAAAGAAACCGTGAATGCAAGCCAGTTATTATATATTTTATATTTTTTGGCACTTGGCTTTAAGTATGCACTCAGTAACATTAAGTTTGGAGTGTGAGTGCAAGGACTACTAAGTTTTTTTTATATATATATTTATATATATATATATATATATATATATATATATATATATATATATATATCACTGTTGAGTAGATATACCCCAAATGAAAACATGCATGCATTTAATTATCCTTTTTTTTTTTTTTCATTGGGACATATCTAAATAACTTGCAATAATGGCAGATCTCTTTTTTTTTTTATATCTCTGTTTTTTGAGAATAATTTTTTACTATGGACTTTTTTGTATAGATTTTATTAGACTAATTTTTACAGCGCCTTAGTCTAAACGACAGGACTACGCGGAACTTACCTTTCTTCTATTGTTTCCTCTTCTCTTCCTCTCTCAGAATCTGTTCTTCTTTTCCTCCTTACTGATATAGCTTGCTTTAAAACATAAGACAATGTAGCAACTAATTTGTCTTAAGTATTTTTCTTACGCTTGACTTTCTTTGATCGAAGGAGGAACTTAGTCAGCTCCATTTCCTGTGTCACACAAATTTTTCCCACAATACTTACCCCTCCTCCATGTTTTCCTATTGCTTCATTCGCCGTGACAGAACATCCTGCCATTTAGACTAAGGCGCCGGCAAATTGATCAAATTCCGTCCAAACCAAATGCCCACAGTTTGTCCATTCTTGTTCGAATGAAATTCAGTCAGTTTTTTCGGTATGAAGGAGTTGGCACCCAGACCACTCCAATGGGCAGAAGTGGTCTGGGTGCCTGGAGTGTCCCTTTAAGACTATGTCTTGTTGTTGTGGTAGTTTTTCTTCTTTTAAATATACTCTCTTCCTATACTGTGTTGATTCCCTTTATATATTTAAGTGTTTCTATCAAATCCCCCCCTGCCTCGCCTTTCCTGCAAGCGATAGAGGTTTAGATTTTTTTTTAACCTTTCCTGGTAAATTTTACCCTGTAATCTATTAACTGGTTTTGTAGCCCTTTCTCTGAATTCTCTCCAAAGCATCAATATGATTCTGGAGATGTGGTCTCAAGTACTGCGTGCAATCAGGGCCGGCGCCACCGTTAGGCGAATTAGGCATTCGCCTAGGGCTCCAGCCTGCTTGGGGCGCCCACCAGGATGTTTCTAGGTGAGCTCCTCCTGTCTGGGGTCACAGCGCTGGACGAGCGGTTCTTGAGCTGCCCCCAGCGATGGGCCGATCCTCAAGGTACCCGATGGTGGGGTGCTGAGAGGAGCCCTGTCACAGGGAGGCCAGGAGGTGGTCATCTGGCCACCTTAGAGCGCCCTCGATGCAGAGCTAGGTAAGGCAGAGCAGGCACCTGCTTACCTTGATGGCAGGTGCCTGCTCTGCCACTAAATGCCGGTGAGAGGGGCGAGGAAAGGAGATGGAGCTGGCAGGCGGCGAGGGAGGGAGTGAAACAGCTTCTCACTCCTCCCTTGCGCGCCCTCTATAATGCCGGGAGCCGGAATATGACATAATTTTGGCCCCGGCATACTAAACGGCGCGCTGGAGGAGAGGCTGCTTTACACTGGACCCCAGGGAGGTAAGTGTGTGTGTTCCTGTCTGTCTGTAAGTGTCTGTGTGTGTGTGTCTATCAGTGAGTGAGTGTATGTATGTCAGTGAGTGTATGTATGTCAGTGAGTGTATGTATGTCAGTGAGTGAGTGTATGTATGTCAGTGAGTGAGTGTATGTATGTCAGTGATTGAGTGTATGTATGTCAATGAGTGAGTGTCTGTCTGTCAGTCAGTGAGTGAGTGTATGTCTGTCAGTCAGTGAGTGTGTGTCTGTCAGTCAGTGAGTGTGTGTCTGTCAGTCAGTGAGTGAGTGTATGTATGTCAATGAGTGAGTGTATGTATATCAGTGAGTGTGTTTCTGTCAGTGAATGTATGTATGTCAGTGAGTGTATGTATGTCAATGAGTGAGTGTATGTATGTCAGTGAGTGTCTGTGTGTGTGTCTGTCAGTGAGTGAGTGTATGTCTGTCAGTGAGTGTGTGTGTGTGTGTGTCTGTCAGTGAGTGAGTGTGTGTCTGTCAGTGAGTGTGTGTGTGTCTGTCAGTGAGTGTGTGTGTGTCTGTCAGTGAGTGAGTGTATGTCTGTCAGTGAGTGTGTTTGTGTGTCTGTCAGTGAGTGAATGTCAGTGTGTGTTTGTTAGTGAGTGAGTGTCAGTGATTGAGTGTATGTCTGTGAGTGTGTGTGTGTGTGTGTCTGTCTGTAAGTAAGTGAGTGTATGTCTGTCCAGTGAGTGTGTCTCTGTGTCTGTCAATGAGTGTCTGTGCCTGTCAGTGAGTGACATGACGGGGTGGCAAAATGGATCTTTGCCTAGGGTGGCAGAAATCCTTGCACCGGTCCTGCGTGCAATACTCACAATACAAGTGAGATCTCACCAGTGATTTGTACAATGTCATGAGCACTTCTCTCTTTCTGCTGCGAATATCTCTCTCTCCCTATACAACCAAGCATTCTGCTAGCATTTCCTGCTGCTCTATTACATTGTCTGCCTAGCTTTTTTTTATTATTTAAATAATTTTTGAGTTTTGAAAGCATTTACATACATGAACAAGTAGTATTGAACGTTAGTACAGAAATTCAAAACATTCCAATATAACAGTCGGTATTGTGAACAGTTCTAATTACATTATGCATTTTTATACCCTGTACAATTAGTGGTGTCAAGTGACATTCGTTATTTTGAGTCTTTCATTCTATATTATAACATATACATATTTCAGGAGTGATAACAAAACCAGCGAACAGTGCAGTATAGCCTTAAGTAATCTAGTTTAAAGTTTGATAGAATAGGCTAAACTTTTTCAATTGATTCATGTGTTTGGCACTACTTGTTTAACATTATGTGAAAGACTGTGGGTGGTCGGTCAGCCGACACCTGGGTATATTTTGTGTTTTATGGGGTGTGTTTCGTTATCTAAAGGGTGATGTGTGACTAACTAGTGGGGTGTCCGTCCCAGTGCCCGTATTCGGAGAGACAACTTGTCCCAGGATTACCACAGTAACACCTATTATGTCTGGTTTCTGGTTGCATTTGGTAGTTGTTCCATCCTACAAGAGATGTCTTCATCTTTTTGCATGAAAGAGTTCCAGGGTCCCCAGATGTGTGTAAATTGAGTGTATTTTTTGGAAATGGCAAAAGTGATTTCCTCCATCTGTCCATCTTATCCCTTCGACTCTTTTAATCCATTCTTTAATGGATGGAGGATGCATCTGTTTCCACTTGAGTGGTATGAGCTGGTTGGCTGCAGTAAGGAGGTGTGACAGTAAAGAAAATGTAAAGATAATTTCCTTTTTTAATGTGAGGCGGTGGTAGGAGAAACAGCAGATATTCTGGTGAAAACTGAATCTTTGTTTTTATGATGATCTGTAAGCAGGGGCACCATGGGGTCGACACAGCCTACACATGGCCGGCCGGGATTATAAAACAAAATAATTAAAAAAGCAATATTGTGGTGGGGCGGAGCTTACCGTGCGGCTGGGGCGGCATTTACTGTGCGGCATGGCGGAGCTAAATTGATGGCAGGGACGGAGCTAAAAGTGCCAAATAACTGCTGCAGGGGAAGCAGGAAGGAGTCCCTGCTTCCCCAACAACCAGTCTCCAGGAGCTGCACTGCTTCCACTCTTCCATAATGAACAGAGGTAACTATGTGTGATTGTCTGCCTGTGTGTGTATGTCTGTGTGCATAACTGTCTTCGTGTGTGTGTGGCTGTCTGCCTTTGTGTGTGTGTGTGTGTGTCTGTCTGTGTGTGGCTTTCTGCCTGTGTGTATGTGTGTTGCTGTTTGTGTGTGTGGCTGCCTGCCTGTGTGTGTGTGTTGCTGTTTGTGTGTGTGGCTGCCTGCCTGTGTGTGTGTGTGACTGTCTGCATGTAAGTATGTGTGGCTGTCATCCTGTAATTGTGTGTGTATGTTTACCTGCCTGTAACTTTATGTGTGTTACTGCCTGTACCTGTGTGTTTCTGCCTGATCCTGTGTATGTGACTATCTGCCTGAGACTGTGTGCATGTGGTGGATTTGACAGTATATATGTATAATTGTGTGCATCTGCCTGTGGGACTGTGTGCACATAACTCTACAAAAATATACACCTGCATTCACACATAGGCCTAAATGCATATTTTTATCTGAATTAAATACCCATCACACAGCCAATAAACCTAGCACAAATATCACATACAACGAATACACGCATATCGCACACAGTTAATACACGCATTACAAATATCA